TTCTCATGTTGGTCAAATAGCTGCTACAGTCGAACAATGTTCCAAAGGGACGTAACATTTTTCAGTAGGTTCATCTTCATGCGTAGACGATTTCATGTACCCAACCATATTTAACTAATTTACAGTAACATAGAGGGCAACTGGATTCTCTTGGTTTCTTGACGTTTCAACTCTCATCCTAGAGGCATCTTCAGTTCTGAGGGAGAACTGAAAACTGCTTTAGATAAAATGACCTGAATGACTGAGAACCTACATAGACATGTTCATTAATGTTCATCATAAACTGTATCTAATCTAAACCAACAACACTAACCACATCTTATGATTCAAAGTCAATCAAATGAATGGTAGAGTAAATGTATTCTAGGACTTAACCTCGGCTTTCATTTAATTTACTAAGTTAACCACAACACTGTCTTCTTTTCAAGTAAGTTAATGCAATAAGGACCTTTGTGGATTTAGTGAAGGAGAAGAAAGGCGAGGGAGACAGTGAGCAGAGAATAAAAGAGTGTTTCCCCCTGGAGGAAACCCATACAATGTGTTCCTGTCTATTGAATGTCACCTTCACTTTTTCACTGGGAGACATCCCAGGCAGGCCGCGTTTGACGCTTAAATGAGCATACATGGGATAAATAAAAAGAAAGTGGAAATATGTTCCCAATGTATTTATTCATTTTTTATTCTGCAATCACTCTTAGATCAGATGCAGAGGAAAATATGTCAAGGGGACTGAAATTTGGAATGGAATGAAATAAATAAAAAGGAATGTTGTATTCCTCATTAAAACCACAATCTGAACTTGAAGGCACCCCGTTGGATGCTGTGTAATTTTGGATTTGGAGCTAATGGTATTAATATTACTTTGCACTTGTTTTGGGCGTGGGTAGCTATTTGAGGTTTATGGTCTGTGTGGCTTTACAGTGGCTCTATAGCATGGCTCATTACCCAGCAAATGAGAGGAGAGGGTGACCCTGCTAACTCACTCTCACTTATTCTACCCCTGGGTTTTTACAGCTGGACTGGACCAAGGCCAGGGGACTCCGAGACTTCGTATGATGTGAGAGAGCTGTGCAAAAACACCAGAGTCACTGCTGTGAATACAAATAATTAACAGTGCTGAATGAGGAAGTGTTGTGTTGTGATGTACTGTCCTACGGTCACACACTCTGTTGCCACCTGGTCAATGGCAGGATCTGTCTGAATGGTGAAATACATGACTGATGACTGTACAGTACTAACATCCTCCTAGGCAGTTCGTGAGAGTGTGTGGTGGTGTGCGTGGGCAGCAGCAGTTTTGTAGGCGGGCTGTTCATCATTTCCCTATTGTTCCACAGGCAGTACGTTTGTGTGCCTTGAAGGTACTTCACCAGTACTGCTCAGAGACATTACTCTGTAGATGAGCCACGAGAGACAAGTGTTCCTGATTGGATTTATGCTTAAATTGCCAACATAAGCAGGAGGTTCAACAAAGAGTAGGGGTGCCAGTCATTCCTAGCTCTCAGGCACAAAAGCATTAATAGCTAGCCAGTGACATTATAATGAAGAGGTGTTGTATTGTGGAGTTTTGACATTGACATTTTCAGGTGCAGTGTGATTTTATAATTTATTTTGAAACTCTTTTGAAGTGTAGCTTATTAATAGCAAGACAACATAGCATCACTGTTTTTTTTTCTTCAGTCTACACCACCATATACTATTTCAGTCTAGTCAAAAATTGCATTGTTTGGATGCAGCCACTCAGGTGTGGAAATCTATAACCTTAGGCCACAAGTCTGCAGTGTTCAGATACTCATTTAAAAATAGGTCTTGAACTATTGACTCTTAAGATTGTGTGTACCCTGTATGGACTTGATGATCCTGTTCTACATTGGTGCTGTGCTATATGTTACCATTTTTGAAATAACATGTAGGATATAAGAAATGGCCCTCTCTGACTTGTTGCAATATTGACATTGTTCATCATACACACTAAAACCTTTTAACTGGCCCATTGTGACCCAAGAGCATTTCAAACTCTCAACCCCACTGTGGCCCCAATGGTCAGGGCTTTTTTTTTTTGTCTTGGTCAGAAAAGATGTGGAGAACCCAGTTGTGAGGCTCCGTGGCTCAGCAGAGCCTGAAATTGACTTGAATGGAAGGAGAAGCAGTTGCAGGTCACCTGGATGGGTCTCAAGGCAAAACACATTATTCTCGCTTCCACTCTTCCACCACTGTACACTAAATCTCACCTGTGGAGAGTGATAGAGTAATTTTAAATTATCAACCACTGACAATGACACATACTTAAAGAGAGACAATCACTGCTATACAGACATTTATGCACACATGTTTAGTCTTGCCCAAATGCTTGCCCTTCTTTTATGCATGCTTGGATTCATGTTTATTCTCTTGCCATTAATGTACCTTTATTCTTACTTTATACTTTTTATGTTCATTACAAGCCCTTTGGTTTTTGATTCTAACTTTTTGTATGCCTTATTGAGTGCACATCAAAAATCCTTTAGTCATAAATGAGATTATTATTTTTATTTTTTTACATAATAAATTAATTCTGGAATATTGACACTTATTTGAGCCATTTTGCTTTGGTGTGAGAAACATTTGGCTGCAAACTCACCCCCATGTTCAACACCTACTGTTGTTAGCTGGTGGTGGATAACGTGGGTTTCCATAGGTTTTTCACTGAAAACAGATGCTAATGATAACAGTGAGACTTACCCATATCACAGTTAGACAGGCGATCCATTGTTGTTGTGGAGAAAAAAAAATTATATATAGTATATATACGTTTCAGAATTCACACTGATACAGTGGAAATTTCCATTAATTTAAAAGTAACATGCATCTGGTGACCAAAAATCAATCTGAATGTTCCTGAGCTCCTTGTGTACTTTATTGATCCCCATCTAGAAAGCCCAATACCGTGTGTCTGGTTAATGGTGATCTGTAGCAGGTTGTGTGTACTGACTGCAGCTGAACATTAAACACTGTAGCCTTATATTTGTCATTAAATAG